TTCGCTGGATAAATGTCCGTAATTAGAAGAAATCTTTTTTGACCTCTCAATCATGTTATTTGTGTCACCTTTAATTTCTTTTGCTGTATAAAAAAAATGGAAATGGAATAAATCTATCAGGCCTAAGTATTCCATAATATTTTACCACTCCCGCCCCATAAATAAAAAGAAAAAAAAGGAGGGCTTCATGTGCTGCCTTTGGATTCAAGGAGTAAGAGCTTTTCACTGCAACGAATTTTAGAACAAATTACATGCATTCAAATAGTAAGAGTGAAGCCCTAAAAGTTATTACATGAAGTTAGTAATATCTAACCAATTCTTAAAGAAAAAGTTGAAAATGCTTGGAATGAAAGTTTCATGTAGGAAAATTACTTAACACAATTGAAGGCATCAGTCAATATATTTTGAAAATTCAACAGGGCACACACACACATGTATACATCCACATAATGAGAATACCTACACACACAACATTAACAAAAAATAATAATGAGAATCAAAGAATTTGCTTACACAAAAATAAGGTACACTTCTCTGGATACACATGGGACCAAAGAGTAAACGGTGCCAACAAGAGGCATCAGCTCACCCAACTCCATATTTGAAAACATCAAGAATCATCATCCAAGAATAGGTGGAGATCAGGCACCAACATAAACTTGTGTGTCCTTGGCAATTCCTCATTCTTTCTTTATTAAACTATATCATAAATATAAGAAACTAATCAAATTGAGGAGAAATAAAAATAAGTACAGAATTTGAGGGGAGAAAAATTGTCATAGATATTACATCTTTAAAAGGCCAACAGTGATTAGTACACACTCCGGTTCAACACACTGCATGATACACTCATTAAAAAATCACTATTTTTTAGTTTGGAATTAAAGACAAATAAGTTTAATTATACAATCATACACACAGAATATAAGAACCGGTTGAATTGACTGTATTTATATTATATTTTTAATAACTGAACCGAGAGTACGTCAAAAAATGTGTTGAATCGAGGGTGTATCAATCATTTTCTTTAAAAGGCTTAGTGCTCAACAAAAATCAATCTCCTCAATAAAATCTTCCCATCTTGTAAGAAAAAAAAAAAACAATAGAACCCCTAAGCTAAGCACAAAGAAACCGTTTTTTGGACCTGTAAATATGCACTATTTTGCCATGGTTTTCAAGGAGTCCTACTTCATTACAAATAATGGATACCTTTTCTATGTCAGATATGTCAAATTAGACCTGTAAATATGCACCATTTTGGACCAACTTCAATATGCATAATGCAGAAAATATGGAAAGAAAAATACATTATACAAAAGCTGATTTGGAGTTGGTTTTCAGTAACTCCTAGAGAAGCACAATGGGTTAAAAAAGAAACACTAAGCTCTTTGCAAGAGAGGCAGATTACATTGCAGTAGCTTTCACTTGGACGAAACAAAGCTTATATGTGTAAGAGACCTCTGCTACTAAAGAGAAAAAAAAAAAAAAAAACAACCACTAATTTGGAGATGGAATAAGTTTTTTCTAGGTTGCAACACAAACTTGTGATCAATATATGCTAAGAAAATCATACACATATTGATCACATTTATCAATGCATGTTAGACAAAAAAACCCCACTGAGTCTTTTGTACAACTTCTGTAAAGTTTTAAGAACAAACTTCTTCTCGTAGGTTAACCAAAATTTCTTTCTAGGTTACATTACAAAGTCATAATTGAATCCAAGACGTTATGAACAGACATTATAAAATAAAATCCAACGAAGAACATACCTGAACTTGCAACTGAAGTGATTTAAGGAACTCAATGGATTCATCCAGCATCAAAACCTTGTATGACTAAAAGAAGCAAAATACCTAATCTAGAAAATGAATCCTTAGTGCTATTTAATAACAAAAAGGCAGAAATAAATTAATGGACAGAGAAATAATTTACTGCTTCAATCAAATCCCTTCATATACAGATGAGAAAGTATCATTTTAACATTGAACAGAGGCATCAACAAAAAGTTTTGCGTAATTTTACATCTAAAATTGAAATTCACATGGAGCTAAGTTTAAATATGCTCAAAGAAACATTGAGGTAAAGCTTTAAGAGAATTGCCCAACTACAATTCGGTCAACAAAGCAAAATTTTCTAGATAAAATAGGTGTAATAGAAGGTATCTCACAATGGCCAACAAATCTTTTCAACCTAGCGTGTAGTTAAGTCAGACACCGAGAGACTCCATCAATAGAATTTTTGAAATGGAAGCAGTGGAAAACAAAAAGGAGGGACTGTAAATAAAAGAAATATATAATTAATTTCTTATTAGTCTTTAAAAAGTATTTTTAATAAAGATTATGGATGTAACTTTTTTTTTTTTTTGAAAATAGCAATCATTTTCTATGCAATTTTTTTTTTTTAAAATTTTTGAATGGCAATCATTTTCCATTGCATGAAAGCTCAATATAAAGCTCAATCTTTATATCTACGCCAGGGCATAGCAAGGGATAGTATTGCACTTGAAAAAAATCTCAACTATGCTACATCTGTAATATTCCTGTATGCATGCTGCATACTACTGCTCTTATTAAGAAAGAGCCTTGAATTCTTTTCCTAACACAAATAGTAAATTATAGGGGCGAGACCACCTTCTTTTTAAGAGCAGTGATCTCCCTTTACAATGCTTCTGCACCCATCTCCAATCCCTATGGCACACTTTTGGGCCCTTGAAAATGTTAAGGCTTGCAAGCACATCTTCTCATACACACTTTGAAAACTGACAGCCAAAAAAACAAATACTTGCAGTTCCCCTCCTCTATTCCACAAAAAGAACATTAAACATCTAAAAGAGCACCTTAGGAAGCTAGCAAGACCTTGAAACATAATGAAGCTATAGTGTAGAAAATAGCTACTGGACCAAATAACAATAGCATGCGAGCTCATGTGTGGAGGTTTGATTAAAAAAAAATTGTAACAGCTAGTAATTAAAAACACTGCTAATACATTAGAAGGGGCTAAATTAAAAAAATAGTCTATTAATTATGTGATTTATTTCAATTTAGTCTAGAAACAATTTTTTCTTTCAAAATGATCTATAAACTATCAATTTTGTTTCAAAATGGTCTATTTGACAAACATTCTGTTAACTGATTAATGGAATTCTTTCTAGTTGTTTACAAGCTGCCTCTTAAAATTTTAAAAAATGTTAAATATAGTACATATATTTTTATTTTTTACAATATTTTGTTTTTAAGTTTAAATTCTATATCAAATGTAATAATTAATTAAGATAATAATTTTAATTTGCATTGATCAAGATTCTAATTTTAATTTACAACAATTAATATTATAATTTAAATTTTATTATTTTTAAAAAACTTAATATCATTATTAAATTACATATTTTTTCACTACTTTGTATAGAAAAATAAAAAATTTATTTTTATATTTAACACTAATAATACATGCATGATTTTAATTTGGGGATTTATAAAATTGAAATGAATTTTTATTTTTTTCAGGCAATTTTAATTATGTGTAGGGACTTATTTAATTAAGTTAAATTTTAGAAGAATTTATTTATTAAAAATATTAATATTTAATAATAAATTAATTCCATCAAAAAAATAATAAATTTACTTTTTTTAGAAATAATAAAATTTAAATTATAACATTGATTATTGTAAATTAAAATTAGAATCTTAAGGAATGTAAATTAAAATTTCATCTTGGTTAATTACTACATTTGACAAAAAAATTTAAACTTCAAAAACAAAATGTTATAAAAATAAAAATATATGTATTATGTTTAATATTTTTCAAAAGTTGAAGGAGCAGCATGTCAACAGCTAGAAAAAAATTCCGTTAACTGATTAACGGAATGTTTGTTAAGTAGACCAATTTGAAACAAAATTGATAGTTTATAGATCATTTTGAAAAAAAAAAATTGTTTCTAAACTAAATTAAAATAAATCATATAATTAATAGACTATTTATTGAATTTAGCCAATTAGAAAGCCAAATAACCTTATCCTCCTTTTCTGTAGAATTTGATGCTGAATTAATTGAGTGATAACTGGATATCTTCTAGCAAAACTATCAGGTATATGCAAGCTATTACCAATCCACCACTCAGCCACTTGAGTCATGCCCCCAATCTACTAAATCGTCAGTAAAAGACACTGAGGATACAACTTCATTCTCTTTGAATTTAGAAAAAGCCATTAATTATTTAACCAAATTTATGCAGAGAATGTTTAACACAAAAGTACCTAATTTCCGCTAAACTAACTTTTTTATATTTCATTGACAAATTGCTCAAACCTAATCTCAATCAAGTAAGAAAACTCTATTCTTCAAAACTAAATCAGTGATAACTATTAACTTAAAGTTAGGATAACGCTTGAAGTTGGGTTCAAGAATTACCTTCCGATGGCACCATTTTTAAGAACTGGGTTTTTGATAAGGAATTTCTCATTGACTACATTGCTTTACAAAATTTCAAAATCATAACTTTGGTAACTACATGAAGTAACCAATGTGAAAGAGCAAAAGAATATGATAAAACTTTTTTTTTTTTCCCTCTAGAACTGCCAAGGTTTATTCACCTGATGGTTCGAATCCCAGACTTTAATGTTCATACAAATTTCAATAGGTATTCCAATGTGAAAGAGCAAAAGAATATGATAAAACTTTTTTTTTCCCTCTAGAACTGCCAAGGTTTATTAACTTAATGGTTCGAATCCCAGACTGTAATGTTCATACAAATTTCAATAGGTATTCCAAGCGTTTAAATCTCTACTATATACATAATATTCCTAAGTTGGTTGTCATAATCCAATTTTAATTGGGGTTAAATGCTAAAATCAGAAGTCAATGGACTATTTTTGCAAAAAAATGAAACTTGAAGTGCTAAAGGAGGAATCAGCAAAACGTCGTCGTTTTGCTTGTAGGTGGAAATAAACAACCCTAGCCGCGCAAGACTCATCCCGTTGCTCTACCTCCAGCCTTTCTCAAACAGAAAAAAATCACAAAAATTCCTTGGCTTATCCCTAAAATCTACTCAAGTTTTGAAGAAATTTTCGAAAATTGAAAGTCATCAACAAGAGGCACAAAAGAAGAGTTTGAAATGGATTCAAAAGGGGAGTTCTAAGTGTAAAAGGTATGAATCTAGACTTGAAAAAGGGTAGATGTGGGAAGAGCTAAGAAATCCCATTCCAAATAGGATTGGGTTGTCATCTTAGGGATTTGGATTGGGTAGTAGAAACACATTAGGATTGGGTTTTCCCCTTTGTCTATAAAAAGGGAGCCTTCGGCTTCATGGAGATTCGAAAATTGAGGGGAAAGAGGAGGCAATTGCCGAGCCTAGAAGGAGAATTGGAGAGATTGAGAGGAAGTACAGCAGCTTGTAACCAGAACTTCAAGAAAATAAAGCTTGATTTTTCATATTATTCTTCAGGTGTGCATTGTTAATTTTTTGGGTGTTGTTCTGTCATGTTCTTTTCTTCTTCTTCTTCTTTTTGTTATAGGTAATTGCTTGGTTTCCTTGTTAAATTGTTTCTTTCCTGGTTGTCTGCAATGGATCTTGAGAAAACTGGTAGTAGCCTTTCATATTTTCATTCTTCATTTGATTTCCGTCCGCTCTGTTCGTCAGTTCTTTTTTTTTTTT